AGTGAAGACACATAAAACAAAGACAGGTTATAACGTTCACACACGGACACACACACAAACGTTTTGGTAACTCGGAATAGTCCAGAGTAAAACTGTATTTTCTTGATGACGGAATGTCCAGTGCATCTAATTTTCACGTCCGGGATTGTCCACGGCGGATCTAAAACTGATTCTCTCATACCACATACGGGATTCACTCAAACTTCAATTAACACATTTACGCAATTATCACACATACAAGTCGGACGCTCTTTGAGGTAGAGGATTGACACTAATTCCTTAAATAAATATTGAGTGACAAATTCCTTTTTACTGTCTAAACATTAATTGACTGATAAATAATTTTCCACATATGTTAAAAACAGGCATTAAAAATAATTCTTCTTATAAATTAAAATTTTGTTACATTTTAAATAAATTTGGTAAAATTTACTTTGTGACACATGTCAATAGTTTCATTGTCTCGAATTGGCACTTAGTATGCTAGGAAATATGGGGAGGGGGTGGTCCCTTGTTATTTTCCGAAGATAAATTTATTGCTTTTAATCTATGATAGTTTTAATAAATGTCCGGTCCATCTTCACCTTCCCTTTTGTTAACGAACAACCACGACCCCCACCCCCAACACACACATACACAGACGTGTATTTTAAAATATGTTTTTGTGAATGGAAACTTTTTTATGACAAAATGTTTCCGGAAATTTTAGTTTTGGTCAATTTAATTTCATTTTATGTTCCTTTACAATCAAAGTCAGCAATATTTTTCCCCTTCTTAACTTGAAAAAAGGTATAACGTAATAAAACAAGAAATGTTTGTAAAACACTTATGCCCCCCTCCCCCCCAAATTGGAATTTTTCAAAGTCCAAAAGGGCATAACTCTGACAAAAATGGCGCGATCGTACCCAAAACAGAACTTGAACTACATAGTCATCTGATAAATCTGTATACTTAATTTCATTTCAGTATGTGCAACCTCTGTGAAGAAAATGGACGGAAACTAAAGATAATTGGAATTTTTCTTAGTCCAAGATGCATGACTCTGTCAAAAATGGCGCGACCGTACCCAAAACAGAACTTGAACTACATAGATGTCTAATATATCTGTGTACCAAATTTCATTTCAGTATGCGCATAGTCATCTGATAAATCTGTATACTAAATTTCATTTCAGTATGTGCAACCTCTGTGAAGAAAATGGACGGAAACTAAAAATAATTGGAATTTTTCTTAGTCCAAGATGCATAACTCTGTCAAAAATGGCGCGACCGTAACCAAAACAGAACTTGAACTACATAGTCATCTGATATATCTGTATACTAAATTTCATTTCAGTATGTGCAACCTCTGTGAAGAAAATGAACGGAAACTGTAAATAATTGAAATTTTTCTAAGTCCAAGGGGCATGACTCTGTCAAAAATGGCGCGACCATACCTAAAACCGAACTTGACCTAGATATTTATCTGATATATCTGTGTACCAAATTTCATTTCAGTATGCGCAACGGTTGTGAAGAAAATGAACGGAAACTAAGTGGACCGACAGACAGACCGACCTTCAGATAGCTGCAAAGCAATAATCCCTCCTTTCTTCTAAGGGGGGCATAAAAATTGAAATTTTAAATTTCAAGTGCGATATTCATGTTCCTCTTGATAAGGTGGAAAATATTTCTGTATTTAAACTATCGAAAATTGTAACTTATGTTGCAAAGAAGAGGCCTTTTGGTGAAATTTCTTTTTTAATAATTATTATTTGTGTTAATCATCAGCTTTCTGACCCATGCCTTGAGACTTATAAAAAAGTTATTGTCCCATGGTTACATTTTGGTGTTAGTGAGATAACTGGAACACAACTAAGGCACAAGGGCCAGTAACATGCTAAATTTGAATTTACGTATTGACTATATATATACAAAAAATCTTTTTTTGTATATATATAGTCAATATATATATTCGGATCTCTGTTGGTGTTACTGGCCCCTGTGATTACTAAGTATAGGAAAAAACCTTGCATTTCAAAAATGAAAAACATTTCAGATCTCTAATCATGTATTAAGCATTCTTTTTTAAAAGATTTAACATAAAGAAATATATAAATACCTCCTATTTCATTGCTGGATATGATGTTTCTTTGTCAGTATATGCGTGATTCTACATCTTCTGCGTTCAAATGCCATGTTATGACATAATCAACTGCGTCATTTTCTATCATAACGTATTAAACACTGGTGTTTAATTTGCAATTTCTATATAAATACCATGTGTTTATTTTATAAATATATATGATTAAGAAATGAACACTCGTGTTAAACACCGGTGATTAAAATGTTAATATAATTATAGAAATCATCATAATATTGGTTTTTATTTCCCCTTTAGAGGTTTGTAAAAATTTTGAAATTTTGGCGCAAAATTACTACTAATTAATGCTAATTGTCATTGCTTTTGATATGATCTAAAAGTCAACATATTGCCTTGCGATTCATATTTTTTTCTGTGTCGAAAAATGTCTACCATTATGTGCGGAATTGCTTCATAAATTAAGAATATTGTAAAAATGGTGAATTCCTACAGGAAATACTGAGAAGCAACACCTATTTCATTTTTTGATTTGATGCATATGAACATTACGTGTTTAAGACGGATGATTATACACCCTACTTATTGAACACCAGTTTAAATATCAGTGTTTATATAAAAAACACTAACAGTTTAAACCCCCTATGTTTAATTGTAAAGCACGGCTGTTTAAAAATAAAACACAAGTTAAACATCATTTTTTACAGTGTATATATGCATAATTTCTGGACATATAAATTATTAGAGTTGGATTTCCAGAGCGGATCACATCTTAAATCCAGATCTTTTCATGTAACACATTAAAGTGGTAAGTCTTCCATGGGACCTGATCCCACCTCTGATGTTTTGGAAGTCCGTGTTTGCTCTGCTCCTGTTTTGTATTGTTTTATGGACTTTGATATTGAATACTGTTCGTTATCTCCATATCCTTCATCTATCATATTCAATTGGATATTTTATAATGGCCTCACACACTTGATGTACTGTAGATTTCCCACCAAAAAAGATTCCAATCGTCCTAGTATTTCTGCTGAAGACATCAATCAGTAGATGGCAACAGTAACCTTTTTCTTTACACCCAACGGTTACTCAACAATCTTTAGGACCGAGGCCAAAACATTTTCCAACATTAAACAAAAATTTTAATAATTTTTTTTCTTTGTATGTAAATTCTTTTACCATTCTTTGTCCTTAAAATCATTAAGTTCCTTTTCTTTCATACCAATAAAAAAGTGGATCGGGTTTCCACCCTAGTCTTTAAGAAACATTCAAAACTTTTACCCAAACAGAAAGTAAATACACTTGATCTTAAATACTGTTCGTTATCTCCATGTGTTTCATTCTCTAGGACTTATACTACAAAGTTGAAAATTGAACTTTTATGACATTATAATTAGCCATTGTGTCTTTCTCTGCTAAAAACAGATCTAATGAAGTCATACAAAAACGCCAGACTGCCATACATGTAAATTAATACTTAAACGGGCAAAACTTACAGCCAAGGGTTGAAAGAAACCGCATATCTTTTGCTATGTAATATTTTTAAAACCAGCTTTTAAGATGCTTATAGAGATAAAAGGGTTAAAATTAAATCATCGATAAAAATGTAGAACTAATTTTAAAACAAACATGGGGTAGAAAAAACAACTGAAAAAAGCAGAAGGAAGTCCCCAGTGACTGTTAGTTAACAACTTAACACGATATTTTAAAGTACATGTACTTCGTTTTTGTATGTCTAATTATTGACGGATCCAGAAAGGGGGTGGGGTGGTTCGAGGGGTAGCCCCCCCCCCTTATTTGTGCCAAGTGAAGAGAGAGAGGATAAAACGTTTTCCGAGAATAAACATTTGTGTCTAACTTATGTATTGGATTATAGATAGATTCTCACACATTTAGTTTCCTCCATTCACCTTCACTATTACTTTTTTATGAGAGAATGGCAGAAAATATTCTACTTGTTTTTATATGTCTTATAAATGATATGTAACATGCGAGGTTAAATTTGATATTAGATTCCCGCGATCTTTGGTTGTGTTGGCTATACATGCATACATATGTACCTTTTTTTTTATCATATCTTTTGAAGGAACTAACATGTAACTTTTCGTTTTAAACCCCACCCCAAAAAGCTTATTTCAAATTCTAAAAGAAAATTCCTTAATTGTACTCTTCGGAAATGCTGCAAATCCATTAAATTTTAAGGCTTCGGTAGTTTTTGAAATGTGTTTGTTTTTTTAATCGGACTGGTGGTACATTTTCTAAGAAAAAAGGATCGTAAAACAAACAAAGATATTTATTTTCCACAACCTTAGATCTTTCCATACCTGTGTGTGAATTTTTGCTTGAAAGTTTGTAAAGGGGGGGGGGGGCCCTGGAACGCACCCCCTCTCGAAAATGGCTGGATCCGCCCCCTGCTAAATAGATAATTTTAAATAGCAAACTCTAAATAGAATATAGTATTTGGGTATTTTAACTATATATTGAACAACGCATTTTTTTTCGTTAAAAAAACAAAACAAACAAACAAAAAGGGCCTATAAATAGCAAAAAGAAAAAAAAAACAATAATGAAAATAAATGAATAGGTCTAAACAAAACAGCACAGCAACTGATTTCTCTCTCACAGACAACTTACTACACCACTGACGACTGAACAGCTGATGAATGGATTCCCCTACAAAAACTCATCTCATGCCTGTAGAGAGTTAACAAAAATGGAAAATACATAACTATCAGATAATGAAATATAGATATGATGATGATGATAGACTAGAAATATGTATATTTTTGGATTAATAATCGTATCTCATAAAAATTCTCCGAATGTGTTGTTGGAGTCCGAGAGAGCTACCCCGGCGTGGTACTGTCGGGTGCCTAAAAGCTCGGACGCTAGGGGCTGATAACTCTGACCATTTCACTAGCAAGAGTTATCGGGATTTGACATGGCGGACGGGGATTTTAGAACTCCCTTGTCGACAACGCCAAACGAAGATTTCAACCCACTAGCAGAAGATCAAGAAGATTTTAACAGGTTAGCAGAATTATGATTTACTGACATATCCTATATTTTGCAAATAATTTTGTAGCAACAATGCAATCATGATGTTTGCCTAAATGATGACCTGTTTCGACGGAGAAGCTGTTGTGTTTATATCGTGTAGACCTACACTGCGTCAGTGTGTGCAGGGTTATTATTAAATTGAATAATTACATTTGTAAACTGAAGTCACAGGGCTCAAGGTTTTTTAGAAGGTTGAGTCTCAGCTTAATCTGGCGAATCTCAGAAAACAATTAAAAAAGTACCAATTGATTTTTGCAGCATCCTTCTACCCGAACAACAACAATACAGTTGAGTCGATCTACTCAAACCTAAACAAAGTAGTATGCTTACAGTCAACTCTTACACAAACCAAGTCATACACAAGAAGTCAACTGCATGTAGTAAACAACACTCGTACATAACCTGACTTGTACATAACTAATTGGAATAGAAGTGTTCGAGTTGTTCAATTACTATCAGAATTAAGAGAGTTTTTAGGTCTTTTTGACATCGATCTTGTTATATTTACATTTCAAATGTCAATGTCCAAGATCAAATTACAATCGATATAAATTAATACCTTATTTCTATGTAAATCTACTAGCTGGTTCATAGATAGGCATGGTTAAATTAAAAAATCATGTGCGGGTCGGGACAAATAGAGACCGAAGCAGGGTTTGTAGCACATGAATTTGCAGAATCAAGAGCATGTAATTATAAGGAATAACTGGCTGATTTTTTGGTTTGGTAATGATTATCAATGGATTGGTTTGCATGATAATTTTATGCATAAATTTGGAATTTATGGAAATTATCATGCAAGCCACTCGATTGATCACATCTTGAAACCAGAAAAGTCACTGTTATTCCTTAAGTGAATACACCTGCACTTAGCAGATCTGTTAATTAATCTGATTATTCATTGAACATAATTGAAGGTGTGATGAAATTTTATTTTTTTACAGCTGATAAATTCAAAAAAAGTTTTAGTTTTATCAACAGAAAAATGTGTTTGGAGACATATATATTTCAATCATATATTTTTTGACTTGTTTTGACAGCAAACTGTGCCAGCAGAATACTCAGGAGCATCATGACGCTGACTGTAGTGGCAGTGAGGACGAGACAGATTCTCAGTGTACGTCTATTGAGGAGATACCAGCAGGAATTCTGTACAGTGTAACACCACCAACCAATATACGGGGGGTCAAAAGGGACAAGAAAAAACAACAGACAAACATACAAAAACAATCCTATAAACAGTACACAGAATTAAAAAAAACAAAGAAATCATTGCGAAATGCTGTTATTAAAGAAAGATATGCAAATGACCCCATGTTTTGTAAACTTGGTCATATAGATTCAGATGACAATCTAGAAAAAGATTTTGCAGATGATAAAGATAAAAGAAGTATGGACAGCCGTGATTTAAAGAAAAAAAGCATGACAAAAACTATAGCTCATGAGAGACTAGCAAAGAGAAGTTCTAGTGATTTAGCTTCAATAGACACAACAACGGTAGATGTTCCTGTTCCTCAAGCTGCTGCTAAGGTGGACACCTCAGGAAGGTTCTCTTCTCTCAACTTTCATGGAAGAGTTCCAGTAGACAGCTCTGGGAGGTTTGCCTCATTGAATCTGAAGTCTCACGCCCTGTCCTCCATGGGACAGTCATTGAGTTCTAGTTGGAATGTAGGCAGAAGTGAACACCGCAGACAGTCAGTAGTTAATGTGGAAGTGCCAGAAGAAAGAGTGAAATTTTTCAAAATATTCTCTACATTGATAAATATGGGTTCGCATTCAAAGAAGGAAAAAGATGTAAAGGGAGTGAAAGACAAGATGAGTTATAGAAGACAGATCAGTTCTGAGCAGGAATTGTGGCAGGAGCGCTATAAAGATTACTTATGGCTTGAACTTCAGTTGGACCAACATGGCTTTAAAACTTTGAATGAACAAGAGGAGTATTTGAAAATGCAAAGAGAAAAAATTCCAGATATTCTAGAAGAAATACTTAATTTCAAATTTGATTGTTCTTTAGAACAGTTGGAAAGAAGTGAAGAAGAAACCAGTTTTAACATTGAAAATAATGAGAATACACCTTATTCATTCACATTAACATCAGAAACAGTTGCACAGCAAAGAGAAGCCCTTATACATGTCCAGGAGTTGCTAAACAAACTTGATGCTAGTGAGCAATTATTTCCTACATCAAAGGCATTTGCAAAAGAATTTGAAATGTACAGTAATAAACGATTTACTCAGCAAGTTAAATCATTGTATCTTTGGCAAAGTATTACCAAAGATTTGTGTCACAAGATCAGAAAACTAGGACTCATACTTGGTGCTCAACATGCATCCGATTATGACTGGCCAGAAATGGATCTTGATAGTCCCCGGTTGTCAGAAGACTTTCATTTTAATTGCGTAGGCAGGCAAAATATTCCAAAAATTCAAGAGCCATCATGTGTGATTAGTGAAGATGAGCTTGATAACACTTCTGAAAGCTTTGGTACCCAAACTGAAAATGCCAAGCGTGTAACATTTACTCTGAATAGTATAAAGTCATCAAGAAACACAAGTCCGGTGAATTCTGAGATGTCTTACAAAGGATTAAGGACTACCTACTCCTTAGGGAATCTCTCTAGAGCTTCAAGTGAAGCAAGCCTAGACGAGCTCCACCATCCACCAGCTAAACTGTTGTTTAGGAAGTATGTAGACAAAACTTTAAAAAGAATGGGGATGAATAAAATGTTGCTGAGGTTCAAAGAGCTTTTAGATAGAACACTACAAAGGGCCAGGGAGGCTTTACAAAGACCAAAGATTTCTACCAATTCTGATATGCAGGTATTTGACTTTGCAATACTTGTATATAAGTTTGAAAATCTGACATGTGTATCTTTAAACATGTATTTCACACACCATCCTGATAAATGAACCAAAACATAATGTAAAAATTCATTTTGTGGTGAAAAAAGACCGTCTGAATACTGGACGTGGAATTCTGGTTAAATCAATCTCAGCTAGATGTCGTAGGGACTAAAATTTTGGTCTGGTGTCCACTACGACATCTCAGATCAATCCCATACATCATGATTAGGGATTTTTTGCTGCCTGCTTCAACTTTTTCCCTTGGACATCCTTTAAAGTCTCTATCACTATATAAAACATTCATTTCTTACCTTTAAAAGGTTTAAATCCAGCAAAATATAAAGTTGTTTATTTTTCATGGATGCTTGCTATTTGTTTAAACCTCCAATGCTGAAGAGTTCCACAATTGTCTGCTTCAAATACTTTGTACTATATTAGATCATTCCTATAGGAAATAGTTGTAGAACAAATTATTCAAAGCAGACTATCGTGGGACTGATAAAGTTTTGCTGAATAAAAATACAATAAATATAATTTTAACACCCAAAAATCAAAATAAAAAACACCGGGCAGGACACTTTGAGAGGGGAGGGCGGGGATAAGAATCTAAAGATTAATTTGTGTCACAAGATCAGAAAACTAGGACTCATACTTGGTGCTCAACATGCATCCGATTATGACTGGCCAGAAATGGATCTTGATAGTCCCCGGTTGTCAGAAGACTTTCATTTTAATTGCGTAGGCAGGCAAAATATTCCAAAAATTCAAGAGCCATCATGTATGATTAGTGAAGATGAGCTTGATAACACTTCTGAAAGCTTTGGTACCCAAACTGAAAATGCCAAGCGTGTAACATTTACTCTGAATAGTATAAAGTCATCAAGAAACACAAGTCCGGTGAATTCTGAGATGTCTTACAAAGGATTAAGGACTACCTACTCCTTAGGGAATCTCTCTAGAGCTTCAAGTGAAGCAAGCCTAGACGAGCTCCACCATCCACCAGCTAAACTGTTGTTTAGGAAGTATGTAGACAAAACTTTAAAAAGAATGGGGATGAATAAAATGTTGCTGAGGTTCAAAGAGCTTTTAGATAGAACACTACAAAGGGCCAGGGAGGCTTTACAAAGACCAAAGATTTCTACCAATTCTGATATGCAGGTATTTGACTTTGCAATACTTGTATATAAGTTTGAAAATCTGACATGTGTATCTTTAAACATGTATTTCACACACCATCCTGATAAATGAACCAAAACATAATGTAAAAATTTATTTTGTGGTGAAAAAAGACCGTCTGAATACTGGACGTGGAATTCTGGTTAAATCAATCTCAGCTAGATGTCGTAGGGACTAAAATTTTGGTCTGGTGTCCACTACGACATCTCAGATCAATCCCATACATCATGATTAGGGATTTTTTGCTGCCTGCTTCAACTTTTTCCCTTGAACATCCTTTAAAGTCTCTATCACTATATAAAACATTCATTTCTTACCTTTAAAAGGTTTAAATCCAGCAAAATATAAAGTTGTTTATTTTTCATGGATGCTTGCTATTTGTTTAAACCTCCAATGCTGAAGAGTTCCACAATTGTCTGCTTCAAATACTTTGTACTATATTAGATCATTCCTATAGGAAATAGTTGTAGAACAAATTATTCAAAGCAGACTATCGTGGGACTGATAAAGTTTTGCTGAATAAAAATACAATAAATATAATTTTAACACCCAAAAATCAAAATAAAAAACACCGGGCAGGACACTTTGAGAGGGGAGGGCGGGGATAAGAATCTAAAGATTAATTTTATCTGGCCTAAAGTAGATTTTATGTGATAAATAATTGTGTTTTTTTCTATGTAGTCACCAGAAGTGGATGGTACAGTGCAGCTGTCCTCTTCACCAGCCCTGGACCTCCATTATGCTGAAGCCAGTTCCTCATCTGTCAATGTCTTTCACAGAAGCTCCAGTCTCACGGACTTTGGTGTGTGGAGTGAGCACTTCATCCAAATGGGCCTCCCGTCATTCCAGCCCAGCTATCTTTTCCTTCTTCATGTATTTTTAGAAGTGATTCATGAAGCTATGAGGCTGCGCTTGGAACAGAGACCAGTCATTGACCCATCCTTTCTCAGCATAAGACCGGTTAGTTAGAGATACATGTATAACAGTATATCTGTCCATCTTTAGCTCACCTGAGTAAAAAGCTCCACAATGAGATTTTCTGAACTAGATTTGTCTGTTGTGTTGAAGACACCATTGTTGACATTCAGAAATACAGTTTTAGAAAACATTTTTAGACCAATAATTGATTTTTTATTGATTTTATAGAAATGTTTTAGTATCTTACCTTAGATTTTCAGTTTTTTTAATTGATTTGTTTTAGTTATGTATACACTTGACTTAACAGGACTTCTCAGTGTTCATTCAAAGATAAGAATTCTTTATTTTTAAATCACACGATAGAATGGTAAAATATCTTTAAATTATTATAGCCAATATGTTTCCTTCACAATTCCTGAAGGAAAAGAAAATATCACCAAAAGAAATATCGATGTCCCTTGATGAAGCTTAAAAATAAATCAGTACTTTTTGTCACATGTTTACTTATTGCCAGACACCATTAGTATTAACCAAAAGGCATCTGTGTGATGCCCTGGCCCACCAAATCTTCAGATCTGAGTCCAGTTAAACACATTTAGAACTTTTAAAAGAAATGTCAAAGCTCTCCCTCTTCCACGCGATTTCAACAATGAAAAAAGATCTACAGAGTGGGTTGGCAGCAGAGAGGTCAGCCGTCTATTCAGAGGTTTGTTATAACTCTTAGGAAACAGTGTCCTGCAGTATATATAGCGAAAAGTGTCTTAATTCACACGAATTACCTATGTGATATTTTAATTCTGAGGGTACACCATGTCCTTGACACTTGTTAATAAGGTCTCACAAGATACGAGGGGCGATCAGAAAATAATGCAAGTAATGTTATTCCGTGGATATTCTTCGTAAATGACCAAAACCAATGTCATGCACGGGTAGATACATTCATTACCTGTGTCTATCTAAAATTTCTTATCGTTTTATTTACTATTTCAAAAGTTACATACAAAAGATGAAGGGATAGTCGTACACACTGACCATTTTCTCCCAGTGATATGAAATCTACAGTGAAGGCTGAAATAAGAACCTATATAAAAGTGAGAGGCATTCTTGATATACCTGCAAAAATAATTTTGAATGAAATTTGTCAGATTTATGAAGATTCTGCAGTTTCGTTAAGCACAGTTTGCCGATGGTTGAAAAAGTTTAAGAATGGCGTTGACGTCGTTAAAGATTCTTCAAGAACAGGGCGACCAAAGACAGCTGTTACTGATGAAAACGTGGCTGCAGTAAAGAAAATGGTAGAGGAAGATGGTAGATATACTCTAAAATATATTGCTAGTGTTGTTGGTATCTCATCAGCAAAGGTACATGAAATTTTGACCAAGCACCTCCACCTATGTAAGTAATGTGCACGATGGGTACCTCATCTCTTGACACCAGAACAAAAGACAACGCGTTTGAAATTTGCAAGAAAACTGTTAAAAATCTATAAAAACTGTGACAAGAGAAAATTTGCTGACTTACTAACAGGTGATGAAACTTGGATTTACTTTTTTGAGCCGCAAAGAAAAAATAACAATATGATGTGGGTAAGGAAGAATAGCGAGCGTCCTGTCGTTGCAAAAAGGTGTCAAAGTGCTAAGAAAATTTTATAAGCTATTTTCTTTAATTCTAGTGGCCCGGTTGTGCAAATTCCAACTCCGCAAGGTAGAGGTATCTCAGGACAGTTTTACAAAAATAATGTACTGAAAAAAACTAAGAAAGTGTATGAAAAGAAAATACCAAAGACAGGCTTGAAGAACATAATTAAAGCTCATTCATGACAATGCTCCAGCTCATAAGAGTAAAATAGTTCAAAGTTTTTTTAAGGATGAAAAGGTTGTTCAGCTCCCACACCCTCCGTATTCTCCTGACTTAAGTCCTTGTGACTTTTTCCTATTTCCTAGACTGAAACAAATGTTATCTGGACGTCGCTATACTTCGCGCAGCGCAGTTGGTAGTATTGTTTATCAGTGCTTAGACAGTATTCCAAAGGAAAACTACCTCGGGGCTTTCAAATCATGGGTATGCAGATTGCAAAAGTGTGTAAATGTAAAAGAGGGTTATTCTGAAGGATTAAACTAGTTTACATTTTGATACATATTGTTTTCATTATTTTATAGATATACTTGCAGAATTTTCTGATCGTCCCTCGTACACACTTGAATTTTATGCAGCATCTATACCGTATCTAAAGTATGCATCATTAACTATGAATTTGAGAAATTACTTAATGTTTGCATTTGTTCTTTATAGATTAAAAATTCAAGGTGAACACTTAGAAGTTTGTATACATATATATGAGAGAGAATACATAGTCTAGATATAAGTGGATTACATAAGGTGGAAAAATAAACATTTTATAAAACTGGGATTTACTCATTTTTTCAGGAGTCTTAAATCCACTCATTCTTCTCAAATTACTGTAAATGTATTATATTTAGCACGTACGATATTTGGCAGAAATTGGATTTTGAACATATCTTAATGTTCTCCTTGATAGATATATGTGCGAGACATTTAGCGTTGTACTTGCATTAGTGGATATTTCTTTCTGCCAAAAATGCTAAAAAGAATACACAGCCAAATGTTAATACGTTTACAGTAAAGTAAAGTCAATAAGTTGATAAGGTGGAACACATATTTAGTCTTTCCAAAACAACAGATCCACAAGGCACATTTAGTCACATTGATATTTAGCATTCCCATGTTATGTGAATTCATGAGTCCTTGGAGTGAAATTTGGCCTCAACATGGGGTCAAAAATTTCATCTTCAGATCTATAAAAAACAGTAGATCCAACATAATTTTAAAGAAATCTTAAAGAGAAAGGTATTATGAAAAAAAAAAAGGCATAATAAATTCTGGCTATTGTTCATTATTGTACAAAAAAATGTACGGTAGTCATTTCCTTTTTTACTTTAGCTTTTAAGGGAGTGCAAGGAAGTCCTTCGAGGTGCAGTGATTGTAAAGCAGTATTTTCAGACCATGGTAGATGATGTCTCAACAGAGGGGGAGACCAATATCATGAAAGACCTTGGAGAATTTGATGATGATGTCAGAAAAATGTTAGATGTCAGTATAAGAAATGTCCTTATTTTGTTTACATGTATATACCGGTATTAGATTCATTTATTTTATTTTTTGATAAAGTTTAAGTATGTGCCTAAACTAGTAATATATGTGATTATGTCTCTGTTTTTATCCACTACTTAAAAGTTGACTTTTTATGCTTTTGCATACATTAGATATAGCTTGTTGATGTAAATGTTTTACTCACCTGAGTTTTAAAGCAAGAGTATGGCTGCAAATGTGTGCTTTTTCATTCAAATTTACTTAAAATATAAGTTAAGAAATAAGTTATAAGTTAATGTCAGCAGTTTGAGAAACATAAGATGTTTTCTCTTCATACAAAATTAACTTTTATTAGAATTTGACAGGAAATCAAGGGTTGTACAAACTGGATCAATTTAAGATCTGTTTTTTTGGACCGCATAAATTCTAAACGGCACGTGCCAACAAACAGAGTTTACACTTATGAAATATGAGGTAAAAGAAATTTTTAAAAGCAAAATTTCTTAATTTGCTGATAAACTAATAAATCATGAATATTTTAGTCTGCTCTCAGATGAATTTAACAGAATTAAAAGTACAGATGTTGATAAAAATCATCATATCCATGAATAGATATACTTAGTATCGTTATATTGTTCCTTTCAAAAAATTGATTCCAAATCTAGAAGTTTAGGTCCTCATAATCATGATAGATAACGTTGAAATTGTTCATTTTCCCCTGCTAATTGCTAAAATGATTTATATGTTTATCCATGAACATAACTAGTTTTAAATAATAAAAAGCATTTATTAATTTTTGTTTATGATCCCACAATTCATGTCTAATTATTTACATTAATAACAAAAATTGGGAATCAGCTGACATCTAGATCAGGTCACGTGATTGGACAAAATGACCGCTAAAGACAGGGAAAAATGGAGATTTTGTTTTAAATTTGATGACTACTGACTGCGTTACAGGTGACCGCTTAGAAGATTTACTTTAAATAGGAAATTTCATTGGGATGAAATAAAATGACTGCATAGAACAGGTGACTGGTGGATAGAGATGACATCTTTTGACAAGTTTGACTGTAGATCTTTTTTCAATTGATGCACATTGTTTTTTAGGTATACTTTACATATTTGCAAAGCTGGATGTTAGCTCTGCAGAGTCTTCCAGAAGCCTCTCTTAGTTTGAAGAATGTTTTAGAATCAGAATGGCTTTTCACCAAACAGATATGTCCTCATGTGATTGGTGGGGAAGCCGAGGCTGGCAAACGCTTCAGGTAAGAAGAGAGATTTTGTTGAAGTAATCTTCTTTATGTTTAGATTCTTTATACATTATAGACCTGTCATTTTTCTCCCCACCATGAATATGACGAGGTCATATAATATTTGTCCTGTCTTTATTTTGCCCCTCTGTACTTCCATCACACTTTGTTTTAAGCTCAGGTTCAATGAAACCATTCTACTTTTTTATAACTTCATATGCTGATATAAACTGATAAGAACAATCTAGTGTCAGTGAAGTTTTTTTATCTTTCATTTGACCCAACTTCATAAAAATATGTTAATATATAATTAAAGATATTTTAAGGATGTATTCAGCTCATACCCCCACCATAGCCACCCTTATCCCCATGCCCCCCCCCCCCCAAAAGTACATTAAACTTTTCACATGTTTATATTTTAAATTTCTTAAAGTGTATTATCCAAGGAATGAATTTGAAAAGACTAGAAATTAAGAGAGATTCAATTTTTCGAAACATACGTTCAAAATGAAGCATGGAAAATTTCGTGGGTAAAAGCAATTTGACCAAAATTGTGAAAACATGACTTACCTGTCAGAATTTATAACATTAAGTTTAATATGCTATTTTGTTTGCAATTTGACAGTATACTGAGTATTTTGAAACTTTTGTATCTATAACGCATAAACATTGCAGCTTTCATATATACATGTTGAAGTTTTAAGGCGTTGGGAACCTACATTTTAGCTGTAAATAATCTTGATTTCCTCCCTCGACTACTGGCACGTCTCCAACACACTTCTGTGTCTGAAATTGTTAGTGAGTAATGGACTGCTTTTGAGAATATATACTGTACATGTAATAATTATTCTGAAATTGTAGATTTTTTAAAATTTCCTAACGGAGTCAAATGTCATTGCTTTACTTTAAAACAAAGTGATCCCCTTCCTCAACTCTCGATTTCACTTGTTATCCTACGATACTGTTGACTATCATCGTAAAAATCATAACTTTGCACTAGGGATGTTAAAATTGTCAACAATTGATATTTGAATATTTGATAAGAGATCCAAATATATTCATTAAATGAAATAAAAGTCTTGCATTATAAAATATGTATCTTCACTCTCCTGTTGAACAGGATATGTTTTATGTCGTTATACCCCCTGCAAACAAGGTTTTGGGGGTTATATAGGAATCAGCTTGTCCGTCCGTCTGTCTGTCTAGCTGTCTGTGCAAACGTCTGTCCGTCTGTCTGTCTGTAAACAATTTTTTAAAATGCTACTCCTCCTACAGTTTTGGTTTGAAACGATAACTTGGCACACAAGTACACTAAACTAAGATACATAATTTAGTGCATTGGTTTTTGATTTCAATGAACAGTATCGCCATGGTTACTAAAAATAGAAATTTCTGTGAAATTCCTTTTAAACGCATCTCCTCCTACAGTTGTTGTCTGATTTCAATACAACTTTGCACACAAGTAGACTACACTAAGATACGTAATTTAGTGCATTGATGTTTGATTTCAATGAACGGTGTTGCCTGATTACTAAAAATAGAAATTTCTGTGAAATTCCTTTAAAACGCGACTCCTCTTACAGTTTTGGTCTGATTTCAATATAACTTGGCACACAAGTACACTACAGTCGTGTGCTATAAATGAGTTCGCAAAATGGCTGACTTAGTAATTTTATATGCAGTAAATCTAAAATGAAACATTTTTACAAATTAACTACAACCTACCCGTATACAATTTCGGACATAAAAAAAACTCGTACAGCTTAATCATTTGAAATTGCAAGGAAAATTGAATTATTCCCCTTTGATAAACAGTAATCGTCTGCTTAGCGACATGGCGCCTCATGGCAAAGAGTTGACGACAGAGCAAAAAGAAATAATTCTACAGATGTCTAACGAGAGTTATTCAAGCTACAAAATACAGGATGTAATAGGAATACATGCAAGAACCATCCGAAAATTTCTGAAACGTGTGCGTGAACGAGGAAGTGTTGAAAATTTGCCACAAAGTGGAAGGAGAAGAAAAACCACGGTGCGCGAGATGCGGAGTGTAAAAAAGAATAGAAGGCAGACCTTTAAAGACATTACAGATAGATTTAATGCAAGAACTGGGTGTGGTGTGTCCTTCAGGATGTAAAAAGACGACTAAATGAAGAAGGGTACAAACGTTGCGTTGTTTCAAAGAAAACAACAGTCTCTCGAACGAATCGCGAAAAAAGAAGTTTTTGTAGGCAAAAACTGCACTGGACTGTGCCGAATCAGTGGGCATCTATCATTTTTAGGGATGAAACGAAGATAGTGCTAGGAAATAACAATAAAGTACAGGTAAACTTCGGTATCTCGACATCGGATATGTCGACAATCTGGGATATGTCGACGTCCGTCCGCGGTCCCGGCATTATTTGCTATATAAATGATTTGCAAAAACTCTGATATGTCGACCTCGGTAATGTCGACTACCCCGCTTATCTCGATATTTTTCACAGTCCCAAGAGCAAAATTTACCTGGTATATGTCAACATCGGGGCAGTTTTTTGCTCTACTTATCCTAATTGTTTGTCAACTGGTCGCTCGTCATGCACGGACAACTCCGTGTATCTCGACGTGGTCAGAAATTCATACCTTTCACACCCATGTTTTGACTACATACTGCTCAGTAGAAATGTGTTTGTAGAGGAATCGGCCAAGCCCCCTAGGCGTCTCTAATACGTTAATTGTTTAATGTTTAGCTTGGGTAATATCATTGATAAATCTTTTTGATTCTGCGTAAATGTAAAACCGTTTATAAATATTTATGTCGAAATCTATAGCTAACAAAACTTAAACATTTTATTTAAAAAATGTAACTGAATAACAATGAACAATATACACATTGAATTCAATTTAACTTAAAAATTGCGGTAAAAATGTATTCAACAGGAATCAATCAAATCTAGGACATGCACGACTATTGCATCAGTCATGGATGCATATGGAACATCACTAACTTTGTTAAATGTGCAATTTCAATTAAATTTTGGTTTGAAAATTGAATGAAAATTAATGATGAATGATTATGAAATAAAAAAGAAGTGAAATGAAATAATTTTAAAAAATATACGCATTAATTTTTTTCCATATCTCGGAAGTCGACTTTGTACCGTTCCTGTTTGGAGTTTATAGAGGGCATTTTGTATCCTGTTCTGACAGAGCTAGTGGCACGCGGATGTAATGCTGGATGGAAAACAGTTTTTAGTAAAATGAGATATAAAAGAAAGCATTTCATAAATAACATTTGTGAAAAACATCTTAGATTTTCTAATGAATATAGAGGGATAGCTGAAACAAATGAGCTACAGTCTAATTGAAGACATATAGGTACCTGTAGTTATACATCTGTTCAGTTTACATGTAGGTCTATGGTTTTACTATGCAGTAAAATTAAGGACGTCGAGTCTCAACTCTGATATCTCGACACCTCGGATATCTCGACATTTTCCGACTGTCCCGTCGATGTCGAGATAACGAAGTTTACCTGTACATGTTTGGAGATAAAGCAGATGAAAGATTAAGACCAGAGTGCCTTGGTTTGTGCGGTGATAGGGAGACGACATGTTGAGCATCCGTCATGTTCTGGGGCTGTATTTCGTTTCACGGAGTTGGTACATTGAAAGTTGTAGATGGAAACATGAACAGATTAAAGTATATTGAAGTTTTGGACGAGTGTCTTTGGCCCGTGATTGCTAGGCATTTTACAAATCGCCCCTGGGTTTTTCAAGAGGATAACGCCCCGTGTCATGTGTCCGCCAGATCAAATGAATGGAAGCAGAATAATAATATCATAACACTTCCCTGGCCTCCACAGAGCCCAGAACTTAATGTGATTGAGAATGTATGGAAAGTGTTAAAATTATGGGTGCAAAGGAGAGCGAACAAGATAGAAAATGCCAATGACCTGAAACGAGTTGTTCAAGACACTTGGAGTAATCTCCCTTTTGTCTACATTCGTAGCCTATACCAAAGCCTTCCAAGAAGGATTCGGACAGTATTACGTTCTCGGGGACATATCACAAAGTATTGAACAAGTAAGGTGGGAGATTTTAATTTTTATTGCAAAGAAAATACAAACCAAAATTTTACATATCGAAATTTTATGACGCGAAGTCGGCCATTTTGCGAACTCATTCATGGCACGCAACTGTACACTAAGATACATAATTTAGTGCATTGGTGTTTGATTTCGATGAACATTGTTGTCATGGTTACTAAAAATAGACATTTCTGAGAAATACTTTCAAAATGCTACTTCTACCACAGTTTGGCTGATTTCAATTTAATTTGGCACACGGGTTGCCCCAAAAAGAGACTTAATCAAGGATCATTATTATTAAATTTATTGCTGTTGTAAAGTTTTAAGTCCCATTGGCTACTTTTCTCTTCCTTTGTTATAAGTACAAACCAGTAGAGCTACAGTCTGGACAGAGACTTCTGGTTACAATTTTAACCTTGGACATAACTTTTGAACGGTAAGGACCAGCGCTTTCATACTTCCCATATGTAATCTTTGAGACAGGGCCTAAATTCTTTAGAAACCAAACAACCTGGACCCTTTGACCTTGACCCTGGGGTTTTTCTTACTTTTAAAAAGGTTAAGCTTGGTCAAAACCTTTGAACAGATGGTGCTAGGGTTTTATATTTCACATTTGTATTTCTCGTGAAAAGCCTTACTTTAGGTACCAATAGAAAGCTTAACCTTCGCTATGTTGCCATAAGGGGGCATAAGTGTTTCACAAACACATCTTGTTTTATCATAAATTTGATTTTTAATTTTAAATGTTTTTTTTTTTTTTTTGAAAATTCAAAAGATTAATTGATTGTTTTACCAAAGCCTATACCATGCAGTATATTGTATATCTTTGCCCCCACAAAAGTCAAATTTTGAAAAATTCTTGAAATGTGCTGAATTCCATAAATTGTTTAAGAAATATAAATTAACAGAACATATATTATAGTTTCAAAGTAGTTTATTGACAATTTTTTGTTCAATTAAATGACGTCACAAACTATTCCGATTTTATATCATTTTTTAGAAAGAGGACAAAATGGACAAAATTTCAACAATTTTAGCTTTAAAAATTATAGAGCGCAAGTTTGCTCAGGAACAATATTTACATATTTCATTGACATTATCATTCTACACATATCAAAATATTGAGCCTGATCAGACCTGTGCTCAGTGACTTTTACTCAAAATATTGATGTAATATATACATTTTTCTGTAGAAATCATGGAAATTTTAAATTTATGTCATTTTTATGACGTCATTTCAAACAAATGACGTCATTGCTTATGAAAATATTCAGTGCTTTGAAGTCAGCATATATCCCCCTGTTTTAGAGCATAATTAAATAGTTCTCTGTCAAATTTGATTTTGGGGGCAAATATTGGTTATTGCCAAATAAATCCCTTTATAGCAGGCAGAACAATTATCAAATGGAGAAAAATTAAAAGCAATTACTTTTTGTTAAGGAATTTTCTGAAAATGATTTTAATGATATATACATATGATAAACAAGGGATTTATGAGTTAACTGTGTAAAACTGTATCCTTTCAACAATTCAAACTGATTATATGTACTGGACACTCTTAAACCATTAATTAAATGATCAAATGAATAATTTAATTTGATACACTCTCCACACCTCTAGGGTAATCCAAGAGGAGTGTCTTTTAATTTTCTTTTAAATCATATTCTGTATTAGTCTGATTGCAAGATGGCATGGATTTTATTAGAACCCTCTTATTGCAGGTCAACGGTACGAACTTGATTCAATTTTTAATAAAACTTGCCAGATTTTTCTCTCTGTAAAATGCTTGTATACTTAAAACCCGAATATTCAAATCATAAATTTATATTTGAATATCAAATCATCAAATGAATATTTGAATATTCATTGACATCCCTGCTTTGCAAGAGTCAAGTCCCCTCCCAAGGGGAGATAACAAAGAGGAGACAAAAATAGGGTGGGGTCTTGAAAAAAATCTTCTCAAGAACCACTGGGTCAGAAAAGCTGAAACTTATGTGGAAGCATCCTATGATAGTGTAAATTCTAAATTGTTGACCCCCGGAGTTGGGTGGGGCCACAATAGGGAATCAAAGTTTTACATAGATTGAAATATATAAGAAAAATCTTTAAAATTCTTCTTCTCAAGAACCACTGGGCCAGGAAAAGTGAAACTTATGAGAAAGCATCCTGGGATATTGTAGATTCTAAATTGTTCAATTCCTGACCCCGGGTGGTAGAACAATTGGAATCCAAGTTTTACATGGAAATATATAGGAAAAAACTTTTAAACTCTTCTCAGGAACCACTGGGCCAGGAAAGGTGAAACATATGTGAAAGCATCATGGGGTAGTGTAGATTTTAATTTTTCCAAATTATGAAGGTCATTGACAATTGGGGTAGGGTGGGGTCAAAACAGGTTATTACAAGGGGGAAATCTGGTAAAGAACAGCATGTCAAAGCTACATAGGTGAACGATGTGGCCCATGGGCATCTTGTCTTTCCTTTAATTATAACCTTGACTTCAACTTGTGTTAAGCTAAATTAAAAGAAATATTCTAGATATTTTCCATCAATCATTACTTAGATAGATTTCAAAAATATTCAAGATAATTTTCAAACTTCATTTGATTATACATCTTAAGGAGACTCATCAATTGCATAAACAATTTTACCTTGACCTTTCCTTTGACCTTGATCTCATTTTTTTTTTTCGAATTTAGGATTATTACCGGGTAATTTTTTTACTTTATCTTTGCTAATGACCTTTCACTTGACTACTTATTGTGTATAAAACTCAGATTTACAGAAACTCTTAAAGTTGCAATTAAGCTTTTAAAAATCTTTCTACTTAAATCATCTGGGAGAATGCGAAACATTAACACATATGATAGTCTACATAGTAGAGATCTTTCCAAAACATTACCCATTTTAACATACAGTATAAAGTTTGATGTAAACGTTTTAGTTCCCTGGCTAGCAGTCTTCTGAACTCAATAGCAGACTTTCTGGAGAGTGGTATAGATGATTTCACCAGCAGTCTGTACAACCTGACAATAAACGAGGACCAGGAGGAGGTACAAGAGACAACGGACACCAACAACAACAACGACAGCGACAACAACGACGAGGGCCACGATCAACAGAAACTCAGGATTCAGGAAATTAGGTCAGATATCATCATCATATTTCATCTTTGGTATATGTTATTAAAGGTGCATAGACACAGATTTGAAGTTAATATTTTCTGTTTAATATCATGACATATATATTTTAACAGCATTTCACACAAAAATGTATGAAAAATTTTATTTCATCTAAAAGTTATTGTCAATGAAACTTTAAATTTTTAATGTGTTTAATTGACACATCCTTGCACTCACAAATTGTAAAATTTTGAAATGGTCTTACTAATACCTGAAGTGATCATAGCCTGAAAAACGCTTAGTACTCAGGTGATCATGAAGCTTCAAGGGCCTCTTGTTTTTCTTTTATAGGCACTTGTTTCAACAGACTTCCAGAAATTGCAAAAAACTCTTCAATGAAGCTAGAGAGAGAGCTTCAAAGGCTTTAGGATTTGCAAAAACTTTGAGAAAGGTAAAATCTTTTTAAGCCTCCCTGAGCCAAAGGGTTGAGTGTCATTAAATATTTATCATTTTTTCCTAAAAAAAAAAAACTATCCAATTCTATTTAAACAAGTGAAAAATAACTTTCATTGATTAACAAAGGTAATTGTAGTTTTCTTAAAGTATCATTTGCATTACTGTAGATTAATTTTTTTTCCATGGAATCATAATTCTGTGTAATCTTTATTTCTGTTCGATCTGCTGGTAGAAGATACGCGGATATCTTAAGACTCTCATTATATGCCTTGTATTTGTATTAATTTCGATTGGACATAGAATAAGTGCACTTTAGTACGTCATTTGGAACCTTTTCGTAAACCCATTTTAAGCTTTACATTACAATATATCGGTAAATTAATCTATGATTATTGTGCATGCATATGCTTTTGATATTTATGACATGGAATTTTTGTCATGCATATTTGTATAATCAAAGACAATGTCATTGAAAAGAACATATACGAGGGGTGATCAAAAAGTTCGCAAACTAATTGAATAACTTCCATACAAGAAACAATATTTGGTTTTAATGTTGATTATATTTTAAATTAATCCTCCCCGATTTTAATGCACATCAACCACCGTTCTGCGCATGCGCGAATCACGTGATATTGGCGGTCAAGTGACCCCCTCCGTAGCGTCCTGTCACAAAAGTTAAAAGATTTTTCCGAGTTTTATATTTCTTTCCATGTGAGTTAATTTTTATGACAAGAACAGTTAATTTGTCAGAAATGGTCATATCTCGGCAACAGAATGGGTGGATAATAACATCCTTTCCAAAAATAAGCATGGCGACCATTAAAACACAAATCTTTTGTCTCAGAAGAGACCTTTATTCAAGGTGGATGGAGAATGGGTGCATCCTTTTTATCATATCTAATATGTTTAAAATCTAAAGTAAACGATATCTTAGGTATTTAATACTTATATCATTGTTCAAATATTCAACTATTTTTCAAAGTGCTAATTGGAGGTCTTTGATAGCAAATTGCTTAATTAAAAATATATCTTTTCAAACTTGCTTTCACTGGGCAAGATGACAAGTATCATTTTTAACCATCAGCCTTCCTTCACTAAAACGATTAATCCAATCATTAATTAAATTTATAGAAACTCATTTATCTCAATAAACTGTGTACAAATTATTATATGATACTGTAGAGGGATTTCTAAGATATTACAATAAATTGTACAGTCGTTTGGTGAACGAGTTCGACTGAGACAACCATTTTTCGTCACAAGTGACCTAAATAGTGACGTCATTTTCACATTGTGACGTCACAAACAAGGAGAGAAACTTTATTCAGCACATGCTATTTATAGACCTTGTGTATGGCTATGTGTGTACCGAATTTCAGTCTAATCTGAATTGTGGTTTTATAGATATAGAGATAGTTTGCGAACTTTTTGATCACCCCTCGTATAAGGCTTCAATTCTGGAAATTTGAACGGGACCACTTTCGAATTTGAGGTATCTGCAGATATGTGGAGACATTTAAATCACATGGATGTGGAATGTAAACATTAGCACACATGCTTTTTCGCAATCAGATTCTACACTACGAATTTAAATGGAGAAAAAAAGATTGTGTAGTTTCATGGTTCACAAATGATAAATGATTCTAGTGTTTAGGGATGAGGTAGATGTCTCGCCCTGCAGACCATAATACGGAGGCAATTTACACAAGCTTATATTTACAAACCACACTGTCAATACCAGAATTCTTTCAAAACACCTCTAATAAAAATACAAAGTAGAATAAGAGATCTAGACATATAATCTTTAACCCTATTAAAATTTGCACAAAAATCTTCCATAGTTTGAAGTTGAAAGTACGATAGATACTGTCACAATATAAACTTCCAATGACAAACACAATGAAATGTTCAATGAAAGCGTCAGCGTGTCGAACAGTGGAATGTCATGTGAGTAAAGTGATTATAATATCAATCACTGACACTCCGGGACCTCTTAATTTAGTGGCTAACTTGAACATAGTTTGGGGACATTTTTATACGCCCGTCTTATGACGGGACATATTATGTTATAGGCTTTGTGTCCGTCCATCTGTCTGTTAGCTTTTTCGTTTCCGGCTCATAACTTTAATACTATTAGGACTAGGATTATCAAACTTTGTCATCTGATGCATCTTGGGTACAAGGTGTGTCATGCACAAAAAGTAGGTCGCTCTGACCTTTTATTGAAAAGTTATAGCCAAATATGGAAAAATCCTTGCCGGCCCATAACTAGAAAACTATAAGACTTACAATCATCAAACTTGGCCAGTTTATGCATCTTAGGTAGAAGGTGTGTCACAACCTATTTCAAGGTCACTCTAACCTTTAATTTAAGTGAAATTAAAAAAAAAAAGTGTCTTTTTACTATTCATTGAAGCATCCCAAATAATGTAAGAGTATTGCACTGTCCTTATTAAAAAAAGTGTTAAATCAAGAAAATACTTATTTTTTTAAGCAAATACTTGACAGCAATCTATAACAAATATAATGTATGTTAGAGAAATCCTACCTCTCCCTTGAGTGTAATTATCAAGCACCGGCCAAGAAGAATTTTGATAACAGAAATTTGCATGTCAAATTAGAGAGAAATTAATGAGTTTCGAGTGTGAGGATCTAACTGATAGAGCATTGGTGTTATCTATATCCCTTGGGTATTGGACAGATGGGTAAGCCTGTTGGATTAAAAATAGCTCTTGTTGGCTAGCCTAAGTTTTAAAATGAATTTGATGAAAAGTAATTAAAACTAATTTGATATTGCATAATAGACTAATCTGATATTATATAATATTATTGATTTAAAAAGTAATTTTTAAATATAGGGAATATTAAAATTCCTATAAAATCTCAACCAAAAAAAAATCTTTGAATATTTTATATGTTTTAAAAAAAAAATTATGGTAGATAGTGCAGACCCATTCATCTCTTGGTAGTAATGAGTAGACAAGCATCCAGTTAAAGATTAATTAATGAGTTCAATGTAGGAAGGCTATCTGATCAAGCAGTCTTATCTGTATCCTTTGGGGATTAGACAGAAGAAGTGCTGGTCAGTTTATAGCATATGTCATTTGATGGCCAGCCTTTTCTTTTCAAAATTACTATGGTATAGATTAAGGTGTTAAGACTAATTTGATATTGTTTAATATGATGGGCATTTGACAAGGTCTTACACAACCAGCATAGAATGATGTAATATTTATTATAATTAATGCCTACATCACAGGGAATGGATAAATATTTGAAGGAATGAAAAAATCATGGAAATCTTAGAATCAAGGTAGACATGATTTTCTTGCACGCTAAACTGTTCAAAAAAATTGTATTTTTTTGACGGACGTGGCGCGGCACTTTATTTGAAAATCAGATATGAGCCGCAACTTGGCCAACATTGTTCTTCGGATATGTATAAGTTTAATTTAAAATACACATTCTGTGCAAATGAGACTAATGGCCAAGTTGTGGCCGGATGTAAAAAATGTCATTGAAAACTGGTATGCATATGAATAACAATAGAAATGTGACAAAACTGTTAGACCCCCATCTCAAAAGCTAGTGCCGCTCGGTATTATTTGATACTTTTATTTAATATAATCTCAACATTCAGAACATTGCGTATCTTTCAACAAATGCACGAGGTGTACTACTTTTATCTAATGCTGGCTTCCTGTTGCACGTCTGTCACAGCTTGTTCCTGGATGGAAGCGTGACATTTAACGCAGAGTGAATTTCTAAAAAGTCAAAAAAGGGAAAGCAACAAAGATGATTTGAGAGTTCTTGTCCTTCACAAACATAAACTTGTCTGCAGAATGAAGTTAATATACAACGAATCTGAATATAAACACGGCACATATTTTTGTGAAAAGCATGAAGCACAGACACTGATTTTTTTATACTTTATTTTGACAAGGTAATAATGAGAATGTAACGGATATATATACTTCATCAATAAAATGAAAATGAACAGAAATATATATATATACCTGTATATATGAATAAAAGAAGACAGTGCACAAATAAATATATAATAATATATGAATATAACCAGAAGTCTCTCTCGAGACAGTAGCTCTACTGCTTTACACTTATGACAAAGGAAGAGAAAAGTAGCAGCTGGGACTTGAAACTTTTAAACAGCAATTAAATAGAATGATCCTTGATTATGTCACTTTTTGTGGCAATACTGCAATAAGACTACAACTGTAAGAGTAGCTCTTAATAAAATTTTACAGAATTTTCAATTTTATTATCATGTTAACATCATTCATTAAAATAAATTTTTAAAAAACAATAAAGACAATAATGTATCTAATAGAGTCTATCTGCATGCCACATTATATTATAATCAATCTAAAACTGTATTTGTAATAGCATTTTTAGCTCACCTCAACGAAGTTGGGGGAGCTTATGTAATACCCTCGGCATCGGTGTAGGCGTCCCGGGTTTAGGTTAAGTTTTTTTGGAGCACTTTTCTTTTTAAGTACTCCTATGTCCTATATTGATTAAACACGCATGGAAGATGTTTCTAGTGTGTTTCATTGTACCAGTCAAAGTTTCAGATGCTGCAATTTCAGCAAAGGAATGACCAAGTTAATGTTTTTGGAGCAGGTTAACATTTTTAGCTCACCTCAACGAAGTTGGGGGGAGCTTATGTGATACCCTCGGCGTCGGCGTCCCGGGTTAAGGTTAAGTTTTTTGGAGCAGTTTTCTTTTTAAGTACTTCTGTGTCCTATATTGATTAGAAATGCATGGAAGATGTTTCTAATGTGTTTCATTGTACCAGTCAAAGTTTCAGATGCTGCAATTTCAGCAAAGGAATGACCAGGTTAATGTTTTTGGTGCAGGTTAACATTTTTGGTACAGTTTTTGGTGTAGGTCTCATTTCCGAGTAACTATAAGCCCTATGTTGACCAAACTTACATGGATGGTACTCTTAGGATGCATACTACCAGACTTACT